CCCTCCCTCCCTCTCTCTCTCTTTCTTTCTTTCTTTCTGGAATTGGGTTCCTTTTTTTGTTTTCTTATGAGCTCTTTCAGGCAGGAGTAGGGAGTGCCTTTTGTCATTCATGCCTTTCCCATTTATCCCCCTTGCAGATCACATGACCTTCTTAGGCTGGTGCTAGGTTCTGGGCTTCCCCAGTCAGCATGGAGAACCTGATCTTTTCAGCACAGAGGAGGCTTGGTGTCCTAGGCTGCTCTCAGGCAGGTGGGGAAGGCAGCCAAGAGTAAGACAGCTATAGTGCAGTGTGTGGTGCCTAAGGGAGGCCAAAGGAAAGGAAGGGACATCAACCACTTGCTGAGTCTGGAGGGAATTCTGGAGGCAGGGACACTATACGAAACTCTAAGGGGGACCAGATACTACCAGAAAATAGTGTGGGAGCAAAGATGTGCCACTTCTGTGTAAGGAAATGTCTTGGGAGAACGGTGATAGTCACTGGGTTCTGGGGATTGTATGTTAAGAAAAACAAAGTGAAGGACTTGTTGCTAGGCAGTTTCAGGAACATTTGTTGCCTTCTGCTTATTTCCTTATTTTCTTCCCTTCCCTTCTCTCTTCCCTCCTACTCCCTCCTCTCTCTATTTCTCTCCCTACTCCCCTCTCCTCATTTTCTTCCTGTTTTTCTTTTCTAGGCATGCTCTATCTTAACATTACCCAGGCTGGCCTTGAAGTGATTATCCAGATCCACACAGCTAGCACTCAGGTGTGTGTCCTTACATCCAACTTGCTGTCTTTGTTCTTATGCTAATAACATTTCTTAGTAATTATTTATTACCAGTATGATTTCATAGTTTCCTGTCATAGTTTTTGGAGCTGGAGTTCTCTATGCTTGGTGGGGACAATGGTCACTGTTTGTACCACATGATAGAGGTGGTGAGCACCTGGGAGAGTATCCTGCCCTATTTTGTGTGCATTTCCATCTTAGCACTGAAGATTCCTGCAGAGTGTAGAGCAGTGTGTGAGTGATCCTAGCTGGTTCCGTGGATGTTTCAGTCCACTGTCTGAGGAAACACTGTTGTATTGCTATGAAGAAAGACCATGACTAAGACAACTTTTCTAAAAGAAAGTACTTATTGGGGGCTTGCTTACAGTTTCATAAACTTAGTCCATTACATTATGGCTGAAAGCATGGCAGCAAGTGGGCATGTTGCTGGAGAGGTGGCTGAGAGCTACATTTTGATCCATAAGAAGAGACATATTTACTCCAAGGCCAGCACCTTGATCCATCTTTTTCTTTCAAATAGCGCTATTCCCTAGTGACTAAGCATTCAAATATATGAACCTGTTGTACCATTCTTATTCAAACCACCACAGCACCTAATTGTGGCAATTTTCTGTAATAAAATTTAAAATAGATAGCAAAAATAATTTAGTAAATATGCAGACTTGTTGAGATGAAACAGTTCATTACTAAATGATTTGGGCCAAGGAAGAAATCAAGGAAAAAATAAACAACATCCTGAAACTAAATGAAAACGAAAGCAACAAAATCTTTGAGGTATATGAAAATTGTTCCATAGCTTTAACAACAAACATTTAAAATCAGACAAAACATGACTTAATGGAAAACTAGGTGTCTCCATGCAGAAGGATGAAACTTGACAAGTGTTTATCACCCTGGACAAAAAATAACTGCAAAGGAGAATATCAATACGATTGACAAACCCTTATCCAAACTAATCAAAAGGCGGAGAGAGAACATCCAAATTAACAAAATCATAAATGAAAAGGGGGACATAACAACATATACTGAGGAAATTCAGAGAATCATTAGGTCTTACTACAAAAACCTGTACTCCACAAAATTGGAAAATATAAAATAAATTGACAATTTTTTAGATAGATACCATATACCAAAATTAAATCAAGACCAGGTGAGCAATTTAAATAGACCTGTAAGCCACGAGAAGAGAAAGTGGGAAGTACACTTGAACTCATTGGCACAAGGAACCACTTCCTATAACCCCAGTAGCACAGACACTGAGAGAAACAATTAATAAATGGGACCTCCTAAAACTGAAAAGCTTCTGTAAAGCAAAGGACACAGTCAACAAGACAAAATGACAGCCTACAGAATGGGAAAAGATCTTCACTAACCCCACATCAGACAGAGGTCTGATCTCCAAAATATACAAAGAACTCAAGAAATTGGATACCAGAAGATCATATAATCCAATAAAAGAATGGAGTACAGACCTAAACAGAGAACTCTCAACAGAGGAATCTAAAATGGCTGAAAGACACTTAAGGAAATATTCACGATCCTTAGTCATCAGAAATGAAAATCAAAACAACTCTGAGATTCCATTTTACACCTGTAAGAATGGCCAAGATCAGAAACACTGATGACAACTTATGCTGGAGAGGTTGTGGGGAAAAGGGAACACTTCTGCAGTGCTGGTGGGAATGCAAGATGGTACAACCCCTTTGGATGTCAGTGTGGCGATTTCTCAGAAAATTAGGAAACAACCTTCCTTAAGATCCAGTAATACCACTTTTGGGAATATATCCAAAGGATGCTCAATCGTGTCACAAAGACATGTGCTCAATTATGTTCATAACAGCTTTGTTTGTCATAGCCAGAACCTGCAAACAACCTAAATGCCCCTTGACCAAAGACTGAATAAGGAAAATATGGTATATTTACACAGCAGAAAAAAATAATGACAGCTTGAATTTTGCAGGAAAATGGATAGAGCTAGAAAACATTATTTTGAGTGAGGTAAACCCAGACACAGAAAGACAATTATCACATGTACTCACTCATAGGTGGTTTTTAAACATAAAGCAAAGAAAGCCAGCCTACAAACCACAATCTCAGAGAACTTAGACAACAATGTGGACACTAAGAGAGACTTACATAGATATAATCTACATGGCAAGTAAAAAGTAGAAAAAGACAAGATCTCCTGAGTAAATTGGGAGCATGGGGGCGGGTGGAAGGGGAGGGGGAGAGACAGGAAGGGGAGCAGAGAAAAATGTAGATAGAGCTCAAGAAATATGAATAAAAATCAGAAAACAAACAACCCCCCCCAAAAGAAAATATTATATTGAGTGAGGTAATCCAGACACAAAAAGATACATATCATATGTTTTCTCTTACTAGAGGCTCCTATAAAGTCCATTAATTCCATGAGAATAGCATAAAATTCTGACTTTTGGACAAAATAATAAAGGCTTTGAACCACTCTACTTAAATTTTCTGATCTGTAATCTGCCTTTCCTGATTTATTTGTGTCAGTATAGAATGTAGAGGCTCCAGATATTGGTGTTCCCTTTAAAAGTGAGGAAGAATTCAGTTAGTTCTCTTTATAAATTGAATTTTCTTGTTTTTGAGATATTTATTGTTAATCTCTGCTAAGAAATTACTGCAAGCATTTTTGCCAGGGTTCACTTTCTGCCCATAATCTGACTATTTCATCATTAGTGAAAGGTTCTACAATTTCTGCTGGGTCTATGCCTACTACTTGCTTGCGTATCATTTCTGACAGCTGCTGTCCAAAATATTGGCACAGGGTGGGGCTATTTAACATTCCCTGTGGGAAAATCTTCCATTGATAGCTCTTAAGAGACTGAAAATTATCATAAGTAGGCACTGTCAGGCATAGTTTTTTTTTTCTTGTAAAGGTATTGTGAAGAAACATTTTTTTAAATCAATAACCATAGGAGATTATCCTTTAGGCAATAGAGAAAGCAAAGAAATTATAGACTGTAGAGAGACCATTGGCTGAAACACCTTATTAACAGCTTTTAGATCTGTTACTATTCTCCTCTTTCCAGATTTTATTAATAAAAAATACAGATGAATTCCAAGGTCTGGTTGATTCTTCAATATGCTGAGCATTTAGCTGCTCCTGTATCAGCTGTTCTAATGCCAGCAGTTTCTCTGTTGTTAAAGGCCATTGCTCAACCCATACAGGTTTGTCTATCAACCATTTTAAAGCTAGGGTTGTTGGTGCCTTTGAAAGATTAGTAGCCATTATACCCTGTTTTTGTACAACAGCCATTGTACCCTGTTCTTGTACAGCCTGAATGGTCGGTGGCTGTTCTTTATCATACCTTCTCATATTTTTTCCATAAACATACATTAATTTATGGTTTGTTTCTGAGATTGGAGGAATGTTAATCTGAGTATTCCATTGCTATAACAAATCATGGACATAATTTCATTGTTGTTAGCCACATAGCCACATATAGTTTTAATTTACCTCTATGTCTTTTTGGCCCTATACATTTGACCCATCTCATGCTCTGTTTTACCTGAGATAGTGTTCCAGCCCCTAAAATATGAACCTTTACCTTCTGAAGAGGCCAATTTGGACACCAAGATCCTGATAAAATTAGTTACATCTGCACCTGTGTTTACCAGACCTTCAATGGCAACATTATTTATTTGTATTTTTAATTTTGGTGTTTGTTCATATGTAGAAGTTTACCAAAATATTTGCTTTACAGTTTCTCCTGAATTTTTTCTCTCCTCTAACTTTTCTATCATCCAGAGTAGTATGGTTTCTTATTATAGGCATTAGATTCTTTTGCTTTGGGAAGGAGGTTTCTCTATGATGACAGGAAACAAGTGAACTGAATTTGGCATGGGGGCCTACCAGAGGCCCCTCAAGGCATTTCCCAATGGCAAAGGATTACCTTGACTGTCCCTTGTCGATCTACATTCATTTGTCCAATGCCTGCTCTTGCTATACCTTCTGCATAATCCAGAAGGGGGCATTCTGTCTGGATGATGCTTAGAAAAAAACATTGTTTCTAGTAATTCTCTATTTACAATCCCTTTTTAGGTGGCTTTGCTTACTGAAATTGAATCTCTTGACATTTAAATTTTTCTTCAAAGCTCTGGAAATCATTTTTCCTATCCAAGCATCGTCATGGTTGAGATAAAGTATTGATTGTATCTCAGATCCATTTCTCCAAGAGTTCTGATCTTGCCTTTAATGGCCTAATTACCCCTTTGTATTGTGCATTAGCATTTTCAAGTCAGAGAGTCAATTATTATTTGTCTAGCTTCTGAATTTGGTATCATTCTATTTACTGCTGAAGTCAATCTTTGTAAGAAATCTATGAGCTAGGTCCAGGACAGCAAGAACTGTTACACAGAGAAACCCTGTCTTGAAAAACCAACCCCACCCCCAAATTCTCAATTGTCTTACCAGACTGCTGAGAATGACAGTGAAATGTAAGGTAGCATGTTTGAGTGGAGAACATAGGTGGTGCAGCCTGGCTGAGGACAGCTGCAGCTCTGGCATGTAGCTATGAAGTGAGAGTGGCAATCCAAGGAGAGGGTGTCTGGGGAAGTCTGAAACCCATAGGGGAGAGAGAGTCAGTTGTCTGAAAAAAATGCACACAGGATCGTGCGGAAGAAGTGCATGTGGTGGGAGCTGCCTGAAGGCAGAGCAAGCAGGTGGATAAGTCCTGTGGTGTTTGGAGTCCAGGTGCTTCTGGAGTTAGGGTGGCAGTTGGAGTCTGCTGTAGAGAGGCTGCAACAAGAAAATCCTGAACTCACCCAGCTTGAGGAAAAAAAAAACCCTAGCTGGTGTGGCAGTGACTTTGGTGGGAGCCTTCATGTGCAGTTCTGATGTGTGCCAGTTGCTGCAAAACCTCAGGTAAGCAGTTTTTTCATGAATTTGTGCCCTAAAGTTGGGTGCCGATTGTTGCACGAGTTCTAATTGGTCTTAATAATACAAACTTGGAGCCAAATATCAGGGTAAATGCTGAAATATCAGAGAGACAAAAGAGTAAGCCACAGCCACCTTTTAACTTGCTAACTTCTGTAATGGCGTAAGCGAATGCAGACAGATTGTCAAAATATAGACAGCTTTAATGGAGGAATAGACTTACAGAACCACAGTTCCCGCGGAGACCAGGAAAGCAGAAGCAAGCGCTGGGAGCAGGCTCGCCAAATTTATAGGCAAACTTTAGCCTGAGGCGAACACGCCCCCTAAGGGGTGGGACTTATCCCTACAAACTTCTCAGCTAAAAAAGGGGCCAAGCTCCTGTCTCCTCCTGCCTCATATTCCTTTCTCTACCCAGCCATATTACTTCCTGTCTGTCTGTACAGACCTCCAGACCTCTCTAGTTAACTAGTGGCTAGCTCTGCACTCTGATCTGTAGGCAAGCCTTATTTGTTAGAGCACAAACAAAATATCACAATACCCTTTTGTCTAATCTATACCATTATTACTGAGCCCTCACCAAAACTCCTCTTGGAGATCCTGCTGTTGCCCAAGTCATGGAGATCACATGGCTATCATTTTACAGGACCAATCCCTTCATGTACTCCCGCAGGTCATAGATGAGGTAGATCTTAGGGTAGGCGAACCCAAGGACCAGGATGTGGGTCTGGGTGGTAGCTGAGTTGGTTAGTCTGGTCCACTGAGACTGCTCCTTCAGGTGAAGAACAGAACCATCTCTCTTGAGTATGGGTGAGCGAGTGCTTTTCCATGGGGGACAGGGCCAGATATCTCAGGGCCAGTGAAGTGCCAGCTGGCTTAGCATGGCTCTTGGATTTCAACATGTATGGACATCAACATCCTCAGCTGCAGAGGACCACAGACCCAGACATGGCCCTTAGCATCAGCTTGGGCCCAGATGTCACCATGGTCTGGGTGGGCATCACAGGTCATCCAGAGAAGTATGTCTGTAGCTGCAACATGTTACTCAGATACCAACATGGTCTCAGTTGGCTGATCAGACCCTGGGCATCTACATGGCCCTCAGTGATAACAGGTGCCATGGACACCAACTCAAACCCTTGGCTGCTGTAGGATCAAGGACCCAGACGTGGCCCTTGGCAACAGCCCATGCCCAGATGTCATCATGGCTCCCAGGTGGTACACAGGCCACTCAGATCATCATGGCTCCATTAGTGGCACAGTCCTTGGACACCAATATGGCCACAAGTGGCTACTCAGATCCCAGGCATCCTTGTGGCCTTTGGTAGCAACATGGGTCATGGATATCAACACAGACTGTAGCTGTGGGAGGGCCATGGACCCAGACATGGCCCTTGGCAGCAGCCTGGGGTGGGACATTACCCTGGCCTCAGGTGTCAAGCAGTCAATCCATATCAGCCTTGTTTCTCCATGTTCACTTCTTTAGTTCTGCCTTCTTCCACAGCACATGAATAATTCTGCTTTTCTTTCTCTCCCATATTTCTACCATATACTTGTTCATCCTAACGACACCTACTCTCCTGATGCCACAAGTATCCAGGCAGGCCTGTGGCTACCTTCCAACCAGCATGGACTGTGAGGACCCAGGCTGGCCCATGGGTGTCTTACCCACCTGAACCAAGCGGCACAAGGTGGGCCTGTGGACACCTTCAGCCAGGCCAGACTGTGAGCTACATTTATTGCTTTAATAAAGTTTTCTCATCTGGGATGATGGCTAAAGACCACCTAACAAGAACATTAATACCATATGTAAGAAGCCCTCTCCTGAGTTGTTAGCCAGTATTGTCCAAGAAACTCCTAAAACTTAGTCTATTGCTGTTGCTTTTGGTTATCTCTCTGAAGTGGAAGGTAAATCCCTATTGCTGAAGACACTATGAATTTCAGAAACAGGGCCTAGAGACCCCTGAACTGACACTGACTGGAATGCCTTCATGAGGGTTAACTTTTAT